TCAGATTCCAGTGTCATTCCAAAATATTTATTTCAGTTCCATTGTTTGAATTCTTTCAATGATGAGTTCGTGAAGTTCGTCTGACGATTGTAGTAGAATGTTGGCACGTTGCCCAGATATATTACCCACCCAGACAAGGAGTGAAAAAATTCCTCAAGTTTTAATTTTATTCCATTTACAAATAGAAATACATGTCTGGTTCCAACGATTTTTCTTCACTTTTCTTCAACTGCCACGATCTTAGCTTTTCTTTCTTTACAATATTTCATAAGGAAAGGACGGGTGACTAGGTGCTCAAACTAGATGACACTACAGTTGTATGGTCGACATCTCAAAAGGATAAGTGACTCGGTGCTCAAACTAGATGACACTACAGTTGTATGGTCGACATCTCAAAAGGATAAGTGACTCGGTGCTCAAACCGGGAGACATTAGAGTTGTATGGTCGACATCTCAAAAGGATAAGTGACTCGGTGCTCAAACTAGGTGACGCTACAGTTGTATGGTCGACATCCGAAAAAGATAAGTGACTTGGTGATTGCTCAAATTAAAGGTCACTACAGTCCTGTGGTCGACATCCGAAAAAGGATAAAGCTCTCTGTGCTAAAACTAAATGATGACACAGTTGTACGTGGTCACCATCCGAAATTTCTATATCTTTAGTGATTTACAGAAGTGCCTCCATCTCTGTTTGGGAGTAATGGGGATGATGGTTACAGTTGAAAGCCGCTGACTTTGTTTTTGCTATAGAGATCCAGCTACTCGTTGCTTTCAAACACTTGGGACTTTGACCCTCGTTGGAATATTTTATATGAAGTTTCTGTGAAAGGTCTAAGGGTGTGGAATTCTTTTTGAAACAGTAAGTTGTGCCTTATATCCACCTGCCAATTTCTTTTTTTCTAAAAAATTCGTCTGCAAACGATTAAACGATCTCTTTAAAACTCGTTTGTAACAAGGATAAAGATATCTTGAAAACAAAAAATAAATATATAAAAATTCGTCATATTACACTATATTGCGTAATAATGATTAATGAATAATAATAACAACGTTTGTTATTGTTATTGTTATCGCCAACGAATCTGAAATAAGAATAATACACAATTTTTAGAATATATAAATTAAACCATTTTCGGTATATAAAGCTATTTGATTTTGCAATTTAAATATTTTTGCCAAATTTTATTTATGTTACCGATAAAATTGTCACAGAAACGAAAATATCACTTGTCTCCAATTTCCAGGAGTTATCATCAACAAATCTAATTGTCAGCCGAATAATACTAAAACAGGTATACTTAGAGACATGAGTTGCCATAGTAAGGCAGTTATCCCAAAAGATTAAGGAAGTTTAGATTGTAACATTGCTGTTTACACTTTAATTGCGGTATAATATGGTTCAAGGAGATAGGCTAATGTAAATAAGAATCATATTAATCGCGACTATTTGAATATCATATAACTTTCCTTATATAGTGCAGGATATCAAATTCTATTTCATTTATAATTTTCCTTAATATATTTCTGAAAAGATGACAGATATAGAAATGTACACGAAATTTAGTTTAACGTTTTTCTTTAACGTACCTTATAGCATAGAACTGTAAAAAAAACAAGTATTAACAATCCGAATAGCAAAACGAAAAACGCAATCCAAAATAATATATTGGTAATACATTGGTAGCATCTAACTTTTATGAATTTAAAATCTGAATTCTTTTACTAGAAGAATAAGAAATAATTAAGGGTGTTCTCTTAGCAATCGGTCAAAAGTGGATTATCGGATACCGTTCATATTTTCTACGACTTTATCTCCAGCACGTGTCGAGGTGATACTTTGTTTCCGTCATTTCAATTAATTATTTAAATTAGATGATATCTGAACGACAATTGAAGCTATCCACGTGACCTAATCACATCTTGCTCTGAAATTTCTGATTGATATTACAGTGATAAAATTGGTGGTAGGGGTGGGGGTGGTGATGGCAACTCTCCAACCACAGAAATTAAAGAATTGAGTTTTATCCATCATTTCATGAAATTTCAAAACATTATTTTCAAAGTTATCATATTAGTATATCTCCAGTTTCATAGAAATATCAATTTATTTATTTATTTGAAATGAACACACTAACCGTGCGGAAATATGATAGAAAAAGTACTCGCCCTCAAAGCAAATTTTCCAAAATTACAGAATAAAAGTAAAGCGCAAAAGCGATTCAAATGAATGTAATTTTCGGTTTTACCTTCGGCTCTTTCGATTTTAAACTGTCGAGCAGCCTTCAGATTTCACTGCGAAATGGGGCTTACTATCACGGACAAAACAAAAGTAGTGCTAGATGCAATAATTAAAGTGTAAGATGAGATATTATTTGTAGCTTGTTGGCCAAATTATTTTTTTGTCACGATAACAATAAAACTGTGAGTAAAATTTGAAATATAGAGGAACTATTGTTTTCCTGTTTAAAGTTAATCTAGTGTTATATCGGAAATGTAATATCAGCTTATTGTTACAGTCAAATACGTCAAGTCATGGTACAACTCTTCCTGGTGTAGTTAAAGTGATAGAGTCGCTTAAAATTATTCACGTTTTCAGCTGATAGCACATGGGATTTTGTTAAAACTGTCGATTCGATTGCAGCAAAACCTTACAATTTTCAAAAAGAAATTCTAACGACCGGTTCGTCTACAATAAAATATATCAATATCTGTAAAATGTACACGGTATTAAGAAAAGAGGTTTTCTAACAAAAATTGTATGTATCCGGGACACTGATAGCATCGAAAATAAGCGTCTTATGACGTCACTGTCACACTATCCTTATATTATCAATCTCATCTTTTGCGACAGTCACGTCATGAAACACTTAGTTTTAGTGGAATTGCAAGAACTAAAAAAAATGGTGTGGTGCAAATTGATGATATCAGTGTCCCTTATACAATTTAAAAGTTTAGAAAACATCTTTAACAATCCCTTTAACTGTATGATCTTGGTCTGAAATTCATTGAAGGTTGAGGAAAACGACAGTCTTTGTCTTCCATACAATTTGAAAAATACTACAAACTTTACTATAAAATAAATAAATAAAAATTTGATTGAACGACCATCGATTCTGACTCGATACGATTTAACAATAAGATCAAAAATAAATTTGTTTCAATTTATTTTGAATTTAAAACTGATTCATGGGTTTTTTTCTGAGGTAATTGGAAGATCCGGCGTTCTATAGTAATGAAAAAAGTATTTTATATCAAATAAATATTTATAAAGCTCGCGTATGCGTTATTGATGATTTTATAGCGTTTTAAACGCTGATATTGGTAATTGATATTTATGTCCTTAAATTGTTTTCAAATCTAAAATCGATCAACGAACTTTGAACAATATTGTTATCGTTACCTGGAAATTTCAATAAAACTTTTACCTTCATCTCTCCGCACTGAAAGTTTTTAAAATGTAAGGAAAAAGTTATAAAGCCCGAACACGTTATTGAAATTGATATACCGTACATAATAACTTCAAAAATTATTTGGAACTATTTGTTTTATAATGAATACAAGTACTAGATTTACTATCTATATCAAAACTATATGTTTATAAAATTAATAATTTCAATTATCTATGAAAGAGCGAATGATATTTCATGTACTGTCTTTATAAAAAAATGTTTTATAATGAGTTACATTTCAACTATATATCTTATAATGAATAATACTGTCGATATTATAACTATATATTTTATAATACTAATTCAACTATATATCTTATAATGAATAGTACTGTCGATATTATAACTATATATTTTATAATACTAATTCAACTATATATCTTATAATGAATAGTACTGTCGATATTATAACTATATATTTTATAATACTAATTCAACTATCTATCTTTATAATGAATAGTACTGTCGATATTATAACTATATATTTTATAATACTAATTCAACTATCTATCTTTATAATGAATAGTACTGTCGTTATTATAACTATATATTTTATAATACTAATTCAACTATATATCTTATAATGAATAGTACTGTCGTTATTATAACTATATATTTTATAATACTAATTCAACTATCTATCTTTATAATGAATAGTACTGTCGATATTATAACTATATATTTTATAATACTAATTCAACTATATATCTTATAATGAATAGTACTGTCGATATTATAACTATATATTTTATAATACTAATTCAACTATCTATCTTTATAATGAATAATAGTACTGTCGATATTATAACTATATATTTTATAATACTAATTCAACTATCTATCTTATAATGAATAATACTGTCGTTATTATAACTATATATTTTATAATACTAATTCAACTATATATCTTATAATGAATAGTACTGTCGTTATTATAACTATATATTTTATAATACTAATTCAACTATATATCTTATAATGAATAGTACTGTCGATATTATAACTATATATTTTATAATACTAATTCAACTATCTATCTTTATAATGAATAATAGTACTGTCGATATTATAACTATATATTTTATAATACTAATTCAACTATCTATCTTATAATGAATAATACTGTCGATATTATAACTATATATTTTATAATACTAATTCAACTATATATCTTATAATGAATAGTACTGTCGTTATTATAACTATATATTTTATTATGAATAACTGATAAACTATACGTTTTATAATAAATGATAGTTCATATACTACCGGTACAAAAACTATACTTTTCATAATAAATGATAGTTATGACACTATACGTTTCATATGTGTTTTGTAATGAAAAACAGTCAAACAATTAGATTTATAACGAGAAACAGCCAAATTACCAAATTATGTGCTTTATAATGAGACACAGCCAAACTATTTTTTTATAATGAATAATAGTCAAACTATTTTTTTTATAATGAATAATAGTCAAACTATCTGATTTATAATGAAAAACAGTTAAACTATATGGTTTATAATGAATAATAATCAAACTATGTGGTTTTAATGAATAATAGTTAAACTATTAGATTTATAATGAGAAACAGCCAAACTACGTGCTTGAAAAGCAGTTAAACTACGTGATTTATGATGAATAATAGTCAAACTATGTGGTTTATAATGAGACACAGCCAAACTATGTGGTTTATAATGAGACACAGCCAAACTATGTGGTTTATAATGAGACACAGTCAAACTATGTGGTTTATAATGAGACACAGCCAAACTACGTGATTTATGATGAATAATAATCAAACTATGTGGTTTATAATGAGACACAGTCAAACTATGTGGTTTATAATGAGACACAGTCAAACTATGTGGTTTATAATGAGACACAGCCAAACTTTGTGGTTTATAATGAGACACAGCCAAACTTTGTGGTTTATAATGAGACACAGCCAAACTTTGTGGTTTATAATGAGACACAGCCAAACTTTGTGGTTTATAATGAGACACAGCCAAACTTTGTGGTTTATAATGAGACACAGCCAAACTTTGTGGTTTATAATGAGACACAGTCAAACTATGTGGTTTATAATGAGACACAGTCAAACTATGTGGTTTATAATGAGACACAGCCAAACTTTGTGGTTTATAATGAATAATAGTTAAACTATTTGTTGAAACTAAAACTAAACTAAACTAGTTGATGACCGTATAAAGAATGTTATCAATAACCAATAGTCTGATATCATACCTTCCTAACTACTCGTACGATTTATCAGGTGTTGTTGCCCCGATGACTTCGTGATAATCTTTCTGACTCAACCATGACACAGTTGGGTTTTTACCTCTATTTTACTGACTAATAATTCATTTATTGTTTATTTCATAGTTTCTAACACTCAAATTTAAAGTATAACCTTGCAGGTATCAAATGTTAATTTTTAAATAATTGAAGGTCTGTGTACGTTACATACCCAAGGACAGTTGGAAATTGGAAAAGAAAAGTCAAATGCCGCCAACCTTGCAAAATATACCTTAAAATACTATAAGGCGACCCCCGCTTTTTTAGCACAAATAAGAATAAGGGAATAGAACGTATTTGGTTTGAGGTGGATAGTTGCAACCTTTATGATTTATTACAACCGTCACGACGTTCTAATATCGCATGAACCATCTAGGCAGTGAATGCTTCCGCTTTCTTACCATTTAAAACACTTTACGATTGTGTTTAGCCAACCAGCATTCAGTTTTAATTTGTCCACTCATATCACAGCATACTTTCAGTCAGAGTAAGTTTAGTTGGAAAACACAAATTACACTCATATATGATGAATACGGCCATTGCATCTTCACAATATCAAGCTATTACCAACTGCGTCTTATACCTTGAACGCAACAGTCACCTTTCTTATACATGTATCACCATCTACACAATGTCAAACTATAACGAACTGCGTCAGCGAATAGCTTGATATTGTGAAGATGTGCAACTGCTGATTCTGAAGTTTCAGTCAGTAATTTCTCGAGGATCCTCTATCAATCTGTTCTCATTTATAATGAATAGAAGAAAATCACCAGGAAAAGCAATTCATTACTACAATAAGCTCTCCAATTCGGCTAATTTGACTTTTCTGTTTAGAACAAAGCCACTTTCGATACAAATCTACCAGAGTTGAGACAGGGACAATATGATGCTAAAACGTATGTTTTCAACCACAGGGCAAGTCCAAAGATGACATTTAGGCCATTTGATGTGCCACAGCCAGTCACATGCTGTGAAAATTAACTTTCCAACTAAAATATATACAACATCTCATATGATACTTTACACATTCACATTGTCAACTCAGAAAATTATTACTATCAAACTATGTGAGAACGTGCCTGGTATCCAATCATAGATACACTTTCGATATTTGGGGACATCATTTTCATGCTGATTCGATTTGGGGACACATACAAAAACAGGTTGAAAACCACTGTGCTAAAACCACCTACCGATCTGCTGGTGTTGATACCTATCAAACTATGTCATCGGAACTGGGTTAATAGCACGGTAGCCCTGTCGATAGTTTTTCTCCACCTACTTTTGTAACCTTTGTTGATAACCTGATCAATGTCCGTACCAATATTGGAATCTCTTACGCCATCATAACCCGATGTGTACTGGTGAGGCATTTATAATCTGTGATAACACCTCTATAATATTGTACGTTTATTGTCAAAATAGTCTGTGTCGAAGTAGGAATCATACCGATGTAGCATTATATACCGTTCTGTACCTGTAACCTGCGATGACCCGGGGTCAATATTTTACCTGTAATTAACTGATAATATCAATAGGTAATTATCTAACTCTGCTGGGGGTCTTAACACCTATATTATATTCTCCTATTGTTCTCGTCATCAATGATCGATCACCTTGTATCAGCTGTTAGAAATTACTTTTTGATTGATTTTTATATTGTTATATGACAAATGCTTTCATCTCTTTTGTTTATTTTCTCAGGTGTGTCGAAACGACATCCGATACGGATTTTTGGAAGTTGAGCGCACTGTGTTTCATTTCCTTTTTTCTTTTCTCAAAATATTTTTTATAAACACTTCAAAAAAATAAATTCAAGGCCCCGTGCCCGGGAAAAATATTCCTCGAAAGTCCCCTCTCCTCTCGTGCCCACCCCCTGTAGACACGGGCCTGAAGAAATGTAGTGTGAATGGAAGGAAAAGCAAGACTAAAGTGTTATTGACATCCAATTTGCCTGGTCATAACGATCTGTGGTCATCGTCTGGTCAGAGTGGACTGACATTACCCTAATGGTCGCCATACATATTCGCATCCTTGACCTTGACAGGAAACTATGTCTGGAACGCTCATTAAATTGATTCTCTGGCTGATGACCTTGACCTTTCTTTCTGAAGTCAGAATAGATGACCCAGACGGCTTTCAACAGAAGTCAAATAATATGGTTTAAGGTTTATTTCCAAGTAGAAACCTGACATGATTCGTGGCAATGTAGTGAACATCTTCCCAATGTCAAGCTATTACGAACTACTGCAACTTATACCTTGATACAATAGACACTATTCTATATCAGAGAACGATTTGATTCGATTGTACGCTAGCGAATACAGCCTCGAGCATTTATAGAAACGCCCCCCTCCATGCATTTCTCCATACAGCCGACGATGCCATACAATTTTAGCTCTGTGCTTTTGTTTAGATGACTGTATTGCGATGAAACCTCGCTAAATTTTGCGCTTCATGTCCTACCAATGATTTTGCACGAACATTAAACCGAAGGAATATGTGAAACATTTGAGCTCTTTGAAAATTAAGACACTATACCCCTTCGTCGGACGCTATTCCTTTACGTCTGTTGCCCCGCGGTATTTTTTCAACCCGGTGTCCCCCTGTCAGTGATGCAGGTAAGAGGGACTGACATGAATAAAGCGTCTTGTTGTTCGGATGGGACAATAAACCGAGGCCCTGTGTGCTACAGGCTGTAGATGTTAAAGATCCCTTGACAGTTGGAAATCCAAAAAGAGCAGGCTAATGCCGCTGTCCTGGTAAAATTTCCCTCATTGCACACTTTGATTTATCACGGCTTTGTGAGTATCTATTGTATATTGAAAATGAGAAGAGATCAAGACCTAGATAAAGTACAGACTGTATTAATTATTCAGTGTGTCATCATTGTTCAATATCAGACTGGTATTTCTATTATAAATCAACCATCTTTATCATTTCTCGCTTTGATGCTTCAAAAATTCTACCTTCAATACATGTACTCAATCAACATCTTCTGGTCAGGGGTTTACGGTGACTCCATGAGATGGACGCTTAGTCGCAAACCTAAAGTCCCAGTGGGTAACTCGGACACATGTCATTCGGTTATCAGTGAAGTCAAATGTCCGCGGTGGCTCAGTACGGTAGTCGCTATGACTCGCTAACCTAAAGGCCCAGATGTAATTCGGGCACAAGTCAACCCTGTTGCACCTGGTCAGAGCTATTAGGGCTCCTCGGTGGCTCAGTGAGTTTGAGGCTAGGTCGCTAACCTGAAGGTCTAGAGATCAATCCCGGCATTAAATTGGGTTATACCTTTGTATTTCTCAACCCGGTTCCCCACTCAGTGATGCAGTTCGGATGGGCTGGCATTTATAAAGCGTCTAGTCGTTCGGATGGACAATTAACCAATCTGATCACTTCTATATTACGAAAAAAAGGCTGTAAGTTCTTTCTTCGTAGGTTGGTTGTTCTGGAGGTTCGCATAATCCTTAAGCGCACCTGTTGTTGACTACTGAGATGACGACTGAAGTAGTGAAACAGATGATAAATTATTAATGTATAACTGATGAAATAACAATGTCATATCGACCATATTGAATATTATCATACCATAATCCAATATTACACCTACTTCAATTGATGAATGGTGTACTTGAAGAGATGGCGTTACATGGTACAGACATGCTTTCTCATATCCGGTTCCATGGGTGATTCCTGACAATGCATTGGATTTTAAACAACTTTATATTCTGGCATAAACAATGACGGTGCACTACTCTTAAGAAATTCTTCTGGAGCATTATAGATGAAGTATGTAGACTAACAGAACCATTACGCAGATGCAGAGTACCTTGACCAGAATTACTTACTTCCAATGGCATCACTATTACTACTTCCTTACTGCCGCCAATGGAACTAGTAAATTTCTTCATCCGTTTGATCATACTCAGGCTTATTGAAATTGGCATGGAATTGTCCACCAGATAAATGACAGAATTTCTTCAGGAATTCTTGTTACTGTCAGCTGAAGTGGTAGTCATGTTTGCTTTGATTGTAAAATGGCGGCCAAACGACGAGCAGACGTCAATATAATTCTCCCGCCAAGACGCAGAAACAGCTTTTTTTCGTGTTTTTAATAAACTAGGAGCTCTTGTCTTGTTTATTGGAACCGTCTTGATGTGACGTCAAGAGTCTTGAGTCTTGGTTGTCAAGTAGCATCTGTTCCTTCTGAACTCTTATTATCTCTCGGATCTGCCCTCTGTCTTTTGACCGGATTATCAGGTCTCATTGATAGATCGATTAATTAGTTGTATCTGTAGTCTCGGTCGTCTCATTTGACCTCCTCGATCACAATTAATTAACACTTCCTAATAAATTGAAACTATGTTGAAGCAAAGTTCAAAGATGGTATTGATTTTCATCCAGAACTTCAAATCTGGAAGCGAATTTTATTGTTTCTTCGAAAAAATTCGAGAATTCGTGACCTGATCTCTAAATACGATCAATTCATTTGAGGATTGCAACTTCTTTAAACCTCTTTGAATCGTACACTAGTGAAAACAGCCAATCAGAGCCCTCGACAGAAAGCAATAAGCTAAAATGTTAACAGTCTTTCTGTAAGGGTCTCTGATTGGCTGTATTCAATAGCGTAGAATTCAATCAAATCGCCGCAAGAAAGGTGGTTTTTGTAGTCAAGTTATAAGACACAGTTGTGAAGATGTGATACAAGAATAGAGGCTACTGCAGTCAAGGCTAGGTTGAGATGAAAAACCGCACTTTGCATCTGTATGTCGTTATTTAGGTCGAGTTTTTAATATCTACCAATAAAACACGATAACAAAAATAAAGCAAGAATTTTGAT